GCCTCTTTTCTGTTTCCCAAGCTCGATCTCTTCTTCCTCCAGCATTATTTAAAAGCCCTCCATTTCCTTCTCTCTCTCTTTCTCTTTCTCTCTTTTCCAGTTCTTCCCTCCTACCTTACTCACAATCGCCCCTCTCTCTCTCTCTCTCTCTCTCTCTCTCTCCTATTCTTCCCTCCTACCCTACTCATAGTCACCTTTCTTTCTCCCTTCTGCTGTTCTTCCCTTCTACCCTACTCACAGTCGCCTCTCTTTCTCCCTCTCTCTGTTCTTATCCACTCTTCTTAATAAATGTGAAGATGAATAGATGCTTAATTTTTATGGAGAATAAAAACATATGATTGCAATTTCATTCATCATCATTTATAACACTATTATAACAATTTTATTCATTATTTATTTTTATCATTTTTAATTTTTTTCACCTCAAGCATTTTTTTTTGTTGGAAAAAAATGTGCATGAGGAAGTGAGATCTAAAAAAGATTGATAAAGAAGAAGATTTTTGTATGAATTGTATAATTATATTTCATATAGAATTTTTTTTGTTTTATCAAAATATTTTTTAAAAAAATAATAGAATATGTATATATATATATATCTATTTTTTTTTGAATGACATACAAAAGAATATGATGATGATAATGCAAAGGGAAATGATTGGTACACCCAATGAACCAACACCCATCTCAACACCCAAGTGTTATGAACAGTAAAATAAGGAGGGGTAAATTTGTAATTTTACTGTTTAAAACAACATGGGTATTGAGATGGGTGTTGGTTCATTGGGTGGATATATCATTGTCCTAATGCAAAATAAGCTTTTTGATGAATAAATTAGAAATATGAAGAATTTGAAAAATATACATATTAGTTCATTGATATTTATAAATATCAAAATTAGTCAAATAAAATTTAATTCTTTTTTATTTATTTATTTTGGATTACATATATATATGCTTTATTTCTATTTTTCTTAGCACATATTTTGAAATTGTTATTTTTTAATAATAATAATAATAACAACAATAACAACAATAACATCAATAATAATAAAAATTAATGCATAAACATGTACTAAAACAATATCTAAAGCTATCCTTGCAATTTCCTATTAAATGGGAGTAACACACATTTTTATCCAAATATTTGATGTATATTAAACCAGTTTATTTATTAATATTTTCTGTTACATATATATTAAATTAGGGGAGAACGGCTTAAGAAATGAAAAATATTAATTCATAGAATACTAAGCATACTTAAGAAAAAGTGAATATTTAAGAATATTAAGCATTGAAGGCTAAAAAATAAAATAAAATAGAATACTGTAAATGAGTTTAGGATTTTTTTCAATTCTTGATAACAAAATCTTAAATTTTTTTCAATTCCTATCAACAAAATCTAAATTATCAGTTCGAAATATTTTTTTAATTCAAAATTTGATTGTAGAATATATGTGTTTGAATTACTTAGTTTAAGTTATATTTTAAAAAGGTACACCAACCAACTTTTTAATATAACATTGAGAAATGAACAATAAAATGATCCCATGCAATGCACATGCGACACACAGGTATTTGATCATATTTAAGTGTATTGTAGTTTTTCAATTGAGAGAAGAGATAATATTGTCTAAATCTTTAAATAGAATAATAATAGAAAAAATAAATATATTTAAATTATGAGATAAAGATTAACATTGAGTGTTTTTTGAATTCTCTTAATATTCCTTTTTTTAATATGATTATATACAATTTTTTAAAAAACACACTCTTGCTAATTACTAAACACAATTTTCAACTCAAGTTTATGCAAAGCAAAAAAAAGAAGAAGCTAGTTTTATTCTAAAAGAAATTGCTAGCATAATAACTCAAATACTTTTCAAGGTTTAATTTTGGAAAGTGATGTGGAGATAATTTTTTTGTGCAATTCTTTTATACAACTTTTATATGTCATTAAATAAATGAATGCATTCGGTATCATGAATTTCAAATGAATAAAAAGAGTTAATGGTTTAAATAACAAGTTTATATCAAAATGTGGTATGAAATGGTTGTCTTTGAATCATTTCCCTTTAATTATTGGCAAGTGTTAATAGCTAATTAAAGAAATTATGATTTTAAATTAAATTAACTTGGGAGTTAATACAAGGACTTAATGGTAGTTATTATTATTTTTGACTTACATGAATTGGTTTCCTTATTAGTTTTTACCCTTTTTTTTTGGCTGTATTTTTAATTCTTTACTACTATCTTTTTGTTATCTATGATGTTATTGTACTTTATACTGTGTTTGTTATAGTTTGATACTCTTATTTTTTACTTAATCAAATATATTTAAAATAGTGTTTAAAGCCAATTAATCTCACCAAACCACATCGATCTAATATAAAGTTAAATTGGTTTGATTATAATATAATAGTAGATTGGATTAGTTTGAAAATTCTATTAATTGATTAAATTAATTTGATTTTAAAATATTAAAATCTGATTCAATACACCTCAAATACCTTATAAAAGAGTATCAATTTGCATAATTTTCCTAAAAAATGATTAGTATCCACCCTGACTTAATACACTTATCAATACTAATTAATTTAGCTTTTAAATTCTATAGTGGAAATTTTTCCCGCTTTAAATTTAACTTTGAAAATATTAATGTCATATTAAGTGCATTACAGAGTGTCT